ATTTTCTGTTTTGTTTAGTTTTTCTTTCAATAAAATAAGTAAAAAATAATTTTAAAAAATCACAAAATATAGAATATATCTATCCATAGTGTCAGTGTGATATCAACTTGATGAGCCAAATATTTAGTCAAACCTTATTCTGCATATATCTCTGACAGTATTTTGTGATGATGTTAAAATTTCAATTAGGAGACTGAATTAAGTAGATGGTCTTTAAGTAGGTGCAGGTGGTCTCAGTTAAGGGCCTAAATAGAATTGAAAGGCTGAACTTTACGTGAAGAAAAGATAATCCTCGTCTCTGGCTGCTTTTGAGTTGGAAACAACATTTTTCTGCCTTCAGACTTAAAAATGAACCATCAGTTCTTCCTGGGTCCCAACTTGCCAGCTTTCAGACTAGAACTAAACTGTTTGCTCTTTGGGAACTCTAGCTTAACAGCTCACCCTGGAGATGTTGAGACTCCTCAACCTCCATTATCAGGTGAGCCAATTCCTTTTAAGAGTTTCTTTCTGTTTATCTACCTATATATTCAACCACTCATCAACCTATTCCAATGGTTCTGTCTCTCTAGGAAGACCTGACTGAAAACTATACCCAAGAATGTATAATAATAGAAAAAATGGCTGGGAGGTAACTCAGTGGTAGAGCACTTGCCCAGCATGTGTGATACCCTGCAGTCCTTTCTCAACACAATAATGATAGTGACAAAAGTAATGAAATGGCCATGATGTGATTGTAGGCTCCTTTTAAAAAAATTTCCTCATTCTTCATAAACAATCCTAAAAGGCAGGTACTATTGATTTATGCAATAGATAAAATAGACATTGAAATATAAAATGATTTGTACTAGATTATATAACCATCACTGAAATCTATGAACCCTGGCTCCATAATCTATAGTGGATGAGATGAACCATCAGCAAACATCAGTTCCAGTTCCACTGTGGATTTGTCTGTGGCCTCAACACCATATTCTCATCTTAAATTTTTTTTTGATTATTCAGTTGTGCATACAGACTTGTTTTGTTTTTTCTGTACAGAGTGTTGATTCCAGGACCTTTTGACTGAGCAACATCTTCTTCCTATTTTTATTTTGGGACTGGATCACATTAAGTCATTTACTTGCCTTGGCTGGGCTTGAATTTACTGCCCTCCTGCCTCAGTCCCCACAGTGCTGGGATTACAGGCTTTTGACACCATGCCTTGCTTAGGTGACATATCCTTAGCTCACTGGGGAAATCTCTCTGCAAACATTTGGAAGAATTCTGCACTAGATTGCTCCAAATATCTTTAGTTCCCCACTACATTAGAAACACAGGTGGTTAAGCCCAGATCATGCACTGCATGTTTCATACTCAAAAGGTCAATCAGTAGAACTGTGCCAAATAAAAGGCATGCCATGTTTCTACAACAAAAATTGTCAAATAGGTGTTTCAATGCATGTGACTTTGAATTAAAATAAATTTCCATATGTAAATCCTTATAATACCATTAAAATGACACTCTAAAAATAAAATTTTTCAAGAACTATATGTTCAACTCATAATGTGTGAACTACCTATCATTCTTTCCTAACACATCACTGCTAATTGGTGATTGTTATTTCTTTTCCTTACAGGATCTGAGATTCCTTGGATTCTGTTTCCTGGGCCATATTAAGTGACCAGTATTGCTCTTTACCAGGAAGTAATGCACTGCTATGCTCTTTTGTCCTTTATTCATTTGCTGATGTATCTCCCACACACTTTCAAAATTAGAAGTATACATAAAGGCAGGTCAGTTTAATATCTGCATTTCTCTCAGGTCTCACAGTGTTTGCTCATGTCATAAAATACACTTTCCTAATTTCATTATCATGATAAAGTGAAAATATTCTGTATTCTGACATTAAAATAATATACCTTCTCTGAGAGCTGTAACTCCTATTTCACAAATGCGACATTTTTTTTTATTCTATTCATGCTTTCCATGGGGAATTAAATTGCCTGCTGACATACACACAAATTGCATTGCTCTTCATTATTCCTAATAAGACATAAACTACAAGAGCTCATTATTTTGTCACTCTTGAATTGGTATAGGTAGCATCAGTGTTTTGCATACTTTGCATCTCCTTACAGAAACTTGACTATAGTAGCATCATTATTACCATTTGTATATAGAAAAGTAGTTAAAACACATTCATAGGTTTGCTAGCTACAGCTAAGGGAGTGCCAATGTTTTTATTTACCTAGTCTAGTGTTTTAATTTGGATTTATAAGTGAATATAATTATTTCTCAAAGAGAATTATTGATATATAATTGATTTTCAATGAGCTACACATTTTTAGCTATAACTGGCCCCCTATATCCATGGGTCCTGTATCTATACATTCAAGCAACCACAGGTCAAATGCTTAGAAAAAAAATACTTCTATACCAAATATATACAGACTTTTCATGTCATTATTCCCTAAACAACAAGTATTTGCATTGTATTAGGTGTTGTAAATATTCTACAAAAGTTTCACAGTGTGTAAGAAGTTGTGCATAATTATATGCAAATACTACAGCATTTTACACAAGAGACTTTGTACCACTGGAGATTTAAACCACGGCCTTCAACAGTGAGATGTATTTCCAGCCCTGATCTATCTTTTATGTTGAGACAGAGACTCACAAAGTTGTCCAGGCTGGGCTTGAATTTAAGGTCTTCCTATCTCAGCCTCCCAAAGTGCTGGGATAACAGAAGTGTGCCGCTATGCCCAGCCCTTCAGTTTCTTATCTCTTACTGTCTTATCAAACAATATACAATATACTGATTTCACAGCACAGTATAAGTTACGGCATCAAAGAGAAGGGTCCCTATCACTGGAGGACTTTACCTCTTTTTCTGGAAATGGAATTAGTACCTTTTTAATCATACCTAGAGCATTTCTACCATGTTAAAGTTTTTATCAGTATAGCTTAAACATTAATGTGTTATTTCTGGATATATCTGTGAATGTTTCTGGGTGAGATTAGCATTTAAATCAGGAAACTGATTAAAGCAGGTTTCATTCTCTAATGTGATATCAGTTAATCTTTTGAGAACCTGAGTACAGGCAGAAAAAAGGAGCACGTTCTCTGTCTCTCTCTCTGTCATTCTCTTTGTTCCTCACTCTTACCTGATTATTGTAATGTAACACTGTTTTTTATTTTTCTACCCTCAGACTAGAACTTACACCACCAGTTTTACTGGGTCTTCAACTTACCAATTAACCTCCAAAGTTTCATTAGCTAATTCTTTATAATAAATGTATCTACCTAAATATTTAACATATAGGTCCTGTTTCTCTGGAAAATCTAAAACTAATACATCAAATATCCACTGATCTGCTGTCTAACACCCTGAAATTATTTTGGTATTCTCTAGAATTTTATATAAAATCTTCTCCTTCTCCTTCTCCTTCTCCTTCTCCTTCTCCTTCTCCTTCACCTTCTTCTTCTTTGACTACGTCTTCTTCTATCTCCATTCACGCAACATAAATCTAGGTTGTTAAAAATATCAACAATTCACTTTTTTCCTCTCAGTGTGCTTTGTTACATATACACACTATAATCACATTATAATCTATCAATTCACCTGATGATAGGTAACCAAGCTGTTTTCATTTTAGGTGTATTCTAAAGGTGCCATGAAGGTTAATATGCTAGGTTTTGTAGCCATGCTTTTCAGTTTGTCATGGGTAAACATTGTACATTCGAAATGGCCAGGATCAAATGATGGGCCGCATTAAGTTCCCGCTGAAACTGGGATTCTAGTTTCTTCATAAGCTCACTAGCACTTAACATGCTCAATTTTTAAAACTACAATCTGAATTTCCCTATGACTGATGATTTTGAAACTATTTCCAAATACTTGACTTTGACTTGTTTATTTTTCCAGAGGGAAAGTCTGTATAAATTGTTGGCCCATCTTTTCATTGGATTGATTGTCTTATTTGATTTTAAGACCTTATGTGGATTCTGGACAAGTCCATACTGTGTGGCCATATTTTCTCTTCTCTTCATTCTCTTAACGGCAGACTTCAAAAAACAAATAGTTGCAATTTTGCTGAAGTTTAATTCATCAATTTGCTGCTTAGTGGATTATGTGTGTATTTGGCAATCTTTCTAATCCTTGCCTAATTCATTTTTTCCATATTTTTCTTCTATATTTGTTTGTCTTACCATAGTGAGGACTGAATGCAGTGCCTTTGCATTGAGCTCATCCTCAGACCTATGTAGCTAGATAGATACTTGTTAATTTTTATTTTCAGACAGTCTCACAGAGTTGCTTAAGCTGTGCTCAAATTAGCTGTTCTCATTTGTTCTCCTAGATAATGGAATTACAGCTAAATGCTACCATACCCAGCTAGCATGGAGATTCAAACTGATTTTCATTATTCATTTTAAATTAATTAATGTTAATGGTATAAGATATTAATTGTTAATTGAATAACCAATTTTTCAGCACCATTTGTTGAAAAATTATCCTCTTTCACTGAATTTTGCAGCTTTTTAGGAAAGATTCTGTACATATCTATATGATTTCATAAAATTTACATTTTATCACATTAATCAGCTGTCTAAATGAGCCTTTTTTGTTGCTAAAAATGTGCTCACGTAAACATATAGTCTAATGTCCACCTATCTCTTGTGATCTCTCTCCCACTAAATCTATGCCAAACTTTCTTGGTCCATCAAACTATACTACTTAACCAAAAACTCCAAGTATTTTCATAAACATGGTGTCCTCCTACTTAAGCCATGCAATTGTTCCAATTATACCACTATCTTGAGATTTAGCCATATCAGTCTTCAGAAATGATGACATTCGGAATCAAGTAGTCCCCATTTGTATTTCACAGTCAAAATCAAGTGTAGTAATTACCTCTAAATTCTATGAAAGAAGTGGCCTCAACTACTCTGCTCATCAATGTATTTTAAGACTCTAAAGCAATCTAACAAATAATGTGATCACTAAATATTCACCTAAATAGTATAGTATTCTTTTGTATTTCTAAAACTTTATGCTACATGGGAATCAAATAATGTCACCTGCCTATGATAGTAATTAGTAAAAGCAAAAATAGAAGAAAGGAAGATATACAAAAAAAAAAAAGAGGAAAGCATTATTATGAACAGGCACAACTTAAAAAAATTTATTTAAAGAAAAACTAAACAAAACAGAAAATGGGTAGAAATAATACATACTTACAAAGAAAAAATAAACAGTAATAAATCACTAATTGATGTTTACATATTGTCCTCTTACAAATAATTGTTCAAGATACAAAAATGGAACATATAAGTGGGAATTCAAACTGTGAGATTGCAAATAGTTCTATTCAACTATCCAAAAAAAACCTTAGTAATATGGTTATCAATCCTATACATTTAAACATACATGCAGTTAGCCATATCTTCCTTTATGTTGAGATTAAACAGACCAAAGCTGACTAAAATCACTCTGGACAAAGAATAATAGTATTGCTGGATTTCACATCATGACACTCCAGGATCAGCACTGGGTACTGTAGTGTCTTTTTTCCTTCAAAGTATTTGTTCATCTCATCATGTGTTGTAAGATCAGATCTCGTAAACTGTTTATAGGTTCTACGCATGCATGAGTCTTAATATGTACTTTTATCCTTTCTATATTAGAGGGGGAAACAAAACAAAGCAGGACAGAACAAAGCATATTCCTATAGACACATAACATGAAAAAGATATATAAAACCACTGTACAAGGAGTTCTACCATGGTTACTGTGTTGTCCCCTGTTATTTTCAATAGAATTGGCTATACAATCAGATATAGTACAATTGAATATATCAGTATATAACAGTATTTACAGAAATACAACTTTTTAGATAGTGTAAAACTACAAAAGAAAAAAGGTAGTAATCAAACCAGAACAGGTATCATAGTGAATCTTGTCATTTTCAGTATAGTTGTCTATACTCTCAGACTTGATACTATCAATTATAATAGTTTTGAATAAAATCTGTTGATAACAAACAGCAATCAAACAAACCAGATTTAACTAAGATCAGTCATACTTTAACAGTATAAGTTATACAGGGCTCCAGATTAAGTTAACAGGAAGTTAAAGATGATTACTGTGGTATATCCTGATATTTTTGGGATAGCTGTCTGTGCCCTCAGATCTAGTGCTTGCAGACAAACTGGGACAGAATATGTTCTATCTAAGCAGAGCAGTGCGAGTAATATGGGTTTTAATTCCTGATACACTATTAATAATATCTTATGCTCTCTTTTTTAAGACTATTCCCTCTCCTTTCACTCCCCCAGTGTATACTGTGAATTTTTGGTCTCACCAACACTCTCTGTTTTAAATTGGGGGGGGGGGCAACCTGCTATTTACCTAAGTGGTTCTGAACCTTCTCCCTCCTGGACTTGATCTCTAATTGTATTCCTTTACCTATTAAAGCCTGTCTTTCCAACCTGCCCATAAATACTGGTCCAGTTTCCCCTATTACTCTCTGGTTCCTTGTCTCACAGAGCATTGTTTTATCATATTTGATTTTCGGTCCATATACCCTTTTTCAGGTTAATTATATTTCCTATAAAGACCATCTCAGTGGACTCTACCTCCTGATCTACTCTCCCTGTAATTCTTTTTTTTTTCTTTTTTTAATTTAGTGTGTCACAGCTATCTATATTAGAGATTATAGCCAACCTTCTCTGCCTCATGTCTGTAGTGCTCTTTTTCTGTCATTAGTTATGTTTGTCTTCTTCACTTTGCTTTCTGCTCCATTCATTGAGGACTCTCTGCCACTGTTCCTGGAATCCTGGTACTTTTCTCTTTCTTTAGAATGTCCTGGAATATTCTCTGTAGAGTTGGATTAGTAGTTGCAAATTCCCCCAGTTTCTCTTTGTCTTGGAAGCGTCTTGTTTCTCCATTAATTTCTAGAGACAGTTTTTCAGGGAACATCAATTTGGACTGGAGGCTAATTTTTTTTTTTTTTTTGTCTTTTTCATTTTTATCAGTACCAGGGATTGAACTCACGACTGCCTGCTTGCAAGGCAGGTGCTTATGCCGCTGAGCTAAATCCCCAGCCCCCTGGAGGCTATTTTTTTTTTTCAGGGCTTGGAGTACTTTACTCCAGGCTCTTGTTGATTGGATGGTTTGTGTCAAGAAGTCTGCCATAGTTCTGATGAGCTTTCCCTTGTAAGTAATCTGTTTCTTGTCTCTGACAGCTTTTAATATTCTGTTCTGATACTGGATTTCTGGGATTTTGATTATTATATGTCTGAGTATAGCTCTGTTTTGGTTGTAGGTGGCTGGAGTTCTGTATGCCTCATACATCTGAATATCATTTCCTTTTCCTATGTTTGGGAAGTTTTCCTTAATTATTTCTGTGAATAGCATTTGTAGTTCCTTTGTTTGTATCCCTGCTTCTTCATTTACATTCTTTATTCTTAACTTATAGATCCTCTTGTCATCTCTAGCCTTTGTGTTGTTACTGCCTATTTCCTTGTTATTTTTAAGCAATTTTTCCTTTCATGCTCCCACATTGCAAACCCATCCTCCAGTTTGGATAATCTATCCTTAGTTTCTTTCAAGACATTTTGCCAGCTTTCAATGGAGTTTTTAATTTCCTGGTAATCTCTTTGAACCTGCTTCATGTAGTCTATGTTTTCTTTACATTCTTCATCAAACGATTCTCCCCTTCTTTTGTGTTCCCCCATTCTTCTGTCTGTGTCTTCCTGAGAGATGCTTAGCATTTCTTTTATTAATCTACTTATATCTTGCTTTACTTGGTTAAATATTTTACTTTTGAACTCGTGTATGAGGTCCCAAAGGTATCACTGGGGCTGTATCTGATGTTGTATGTTTGCTGTCCTCAATCTCCTTTGTATTTACCTTTCCTGGGTCAATGTTCTCAGGGTTGAGAGCTGGGGACTTTTTCATGCTGCTTCCTAATTTCATATTTTTTGTTTCTTCCATACAAGTATATATGTAGAAGGCCTCAGTTTCTTTCTTTATTGGTTACAATTCTTTCTGAAGTGTGCTGGCTAGGTGGTCCTGCCAACAGAGTGTGCTATTAAGGTGCAAACAGGGCCAGCATATGCTGGCCCTTCCCCTCTGGGTCAGTGAACCTGCTGAGGCCTTCGCTGCATTCGTGTGTGCTGCCTGACCCTGACGTAGGGAATTGATTGGGGATAACTTACTGGGTCTCAGCCAGGAGTGTAACCCTGGCCAAGCACACCCCATCAATCCCATTTGGGAAGGGAGCAACTGACTGAAGTCACTATGGCTCCTTGTTCTTGCCGATCATTTCAGGTCTCAGAATGTCTTCTGTTGGAGCCCCTTTTTCTGTGGAATGGTTTTATTCCCGGCACTCACCGCAGGTCAATGTAAGTTCCCCACCAGCTCAGCTCTGTGTTTGGCTCACCAACCCCCGACCTCAGTGTGATGCATTTCCAGTGAGTAGAAGCGGCACGATTTCAGGCGGCTCAGTAAGTTGCAGCTATGTGAGTATGGATGCTGCAGTGGAAGCACCAAGCCTTTAGCTGTTCCAGTAGTAGCCCTGGAACTGTGTTTGATTAGTTCTTCTCACCTTGGGTCAGGAGGATTCATCTCCCTCTGTTCGGGACTCTCCATGATGTATTATTTTGAAATTTAAGCTGACTATCTCAGGGAGCCTCTGTAGCCTGCTGTTATCTATCTGCTATCTTTACCAGAACCCCCATGCACAACCTTTTCTTTTACAGTTTAATGTACATTTTCTCTACTACCTGATGATCACTGTAATCATTGCATATTGAATTAATAGCAGATTCAGACCAGATAAAAAACTTGTACTTATGATTGAAAAAAATACATAAACTCTCTGGAGACATGTCAGCAAGGAAAAAAGGAAGGAAAAAGATATTAAAGAAAGAGAAAGAAAAAAGGAAGAAAAAAAGAAAAAACATGAAAGAAAGATCAGCTTAGTTCAGTCTTAATGACTCTAGTTACCATCTACCTAAAACTGTACAAGAGATTCTAAATAAGAGTTGTGAAGTTAAACTATATGCATCACAGAAACACAAGAGACAATCAATTGTTGACCTTTGGGATTAATCTTTGTGGCAGTTCTTAATGCAAAAATAGATACCAGAAACGTCTTGTATTTCCAAGCAACAAGAAAAAGAATATATGCTACATCATCTAGGATACACTCTAAAATCAAAGAAAAAAGAAACAGAAAAATAACCAATCCATTCAAATGTTAATCTCTAGCTTTAGTGTACTGTTTCACAGTAGGCCATTGCTTCTGCAGTAATAAGCAGAAAAAAAAATAAAGTACTAAAACATATTTTAAAGATCCTAGATATCAGTGGTAGCAAAAAGAGGTATGTGAATAAAATTTTAAAGAGAATATTTAAGAGGGAAACTTCCTGAGGGAAAAAATTTACTCCATAAAATGGACAAATCTCAATTGCTGGTTAATGTTTGTCCAAGCCTCAGGTTTGAATACACGTAGAAACTCTGCTGAGAGAAATGTAAACCATGAAAGTTTTCAGCAAAAATCATAAAATAAGTAGTGTACAAATTGAAAACTTGAAGAAACTGAAACAATAGCTGATTATTTCCAGAATGTTACTCCCATTTTAATGCTGTACAGGAATAAGGAAATTTAGGTCAAATTCTTCCGGACGTAGATTGAAATTTTCTCACTTGCTCAATGCCTAGATAATAAGAATTTGTTTCAAACACACTAGCAAGTTTCTCTTCATATTCCAGATCTTGATGGCATACAGGATGTGAACTTGGAAGATTCAGCCTCTGAAGCATAAAACTGGGGTTCGTACAGTATTTCACATCTGAAAAAAATAAGAGCAATTCAGGATCCAACTCAGAAGTACAGGAGAAGCACGAAGCAGAAACAAAGATGAGCCAGAGGTCGGATGTGTATTACTATATTTCAAACTCTGCTGCCACCCAGATCAATTTTGAATTTGAGTGCAGTGACAAGATTCATAACCTGCTGAACAGGAAAAGCTAGTGCTCTTCCTAATGGAAATCTACAAGATTAGAAATCTCTGAGGTTCTTTGTTTACACAACATATAATATTCAATATGTATTAGAATATTACTATAATTGGAAAGACGTGAGAAAATGTCACATATTTTTGAAAAGAGATGGCAAACAATAAAAATGTACAGATAACTCGAATGTAAAGCTAGCCAAGTCATATAAAAATGAGTGCAGTATATTCAAGAAATGAAAAAAAATCTAGGTCAAATAGATGAAAATATAAAAGAAAAATTTAACAGAAAATTGCAATCTTTAAAAAAAAGCATTCAGTATATAGTCTATGACACAAATTAGAAATATTTCCAAAATAAAGAATTCTACTGATAAGTTTAAAAACACAATGGATGATGCAGAGCACAAAAGCAGTAAACTGGAAAATATTAAGTAAAACATGGCAAAATGAAGCAACCAAGGGGGTGGAAGAACATAGCATAACTGCCAAGTGACAATTTATTCAAGCAAAAAAATAAAACTATCATATATAATTGGTGTCCCTAAATGAGAGGAAAGAATAGGAGAGAAACAACATTTATTTCTGGTGATCAATGAATTAATTCCATTCTAATGTGAGATACACACACACAAATTCAAAAAGCTCTGTGAAACCCAAGAAGTATAAATCAAACTAAAGAAGAAGTATAAAAGCAGACAAAGTGGAGAAATGTTGCCTTTACAGGAAAAATAAGAATAAGTGTGCGTCTCTGCAAGAGAAGAAAACACGATGTGGATAGAAAGAATTAGGGTTAGGTTGGGGGGTAGGTTTAGGCTAAAACAGAATAACTGCCAACACAGAATTCTACATCCAGTAAAAATAGCTTCCAATACTTAAGATTTTTATAAACAAATGTGCAGACAATAACAGACTTCATTCTAGTAGTCATGAAGAAAGGAAAAATTACTTAGGATTATGGATGCAGGTAAAAATTAAAGTTTCTGAAACATGAAAATAAAGGAGGAAGTAAAGCTTAACAGCAATAGTAAAAATGTAAATGATTATTGATTATATGTATGAGTACAAAAAATAGAATGCTGTTTAAATCATATGTATAAATGATGTAGGTAAGTATGACAGAATATTAACTATAGAAAGCAAAATTTTCAATATTTTGCCAAATTTTAATTATCCTCAAGATGATGATGGTATAAAATGTAGGGAAAGGCTTTTAGAGCTTGTATGGTTATCATAAAAAGTTAAAAATAATAGTCTGCATTACTCTGTAATAAGATAATTATATGAATTATAGTTCTATAGTAACCATAAAAATAGTAAAATAATGTACAATTAATTATTAGTACAGGCAATATAATAAAATATTCAATGCAAAAAGTAAAGCAAATAAAAGGAATATAAAAAGACAGATCAAATGAAAATAAATAATAATATGATAATTTTAACTTTAACTACATAGTAATTGCACTAAATTTAAATGGATTGAATACACCAAGGAGAAGCCTGATAATGTAAAGATAATTATAGTTCTATGTTTCTTACAAGAAATGGGCTCTAAATAGAAAAAAATATATGGAGGAAGGTACATAAGAGCATTTTTGCCCTTATTAGTCCCCCGAAATATTAAAATTAAAATCATGATATAATATTTCTAGCCACCAGCAAGAAAAATTAAATTTTAAAGTAATGTGAACAAAAAATTTTGTTCACTATGTTAAAAAATGGAATCTCTCATATATTGCTAGGAAAAACATAAATTGGTAAAGCCATGATGGAAAATTATTTGACATTTTTCACTAAAGCTGAAAATATGACTTTTATGATACAGAATATGTATTATGAGATATATATTCAATAGAAGTGTATATCAGTACACATGTACAAGAATTCCGTGCTAGCAATATTTATGAAAAACCTAGAAACAACCCAAAAGTTAAAAATTAGAACAGATTGTCTTGTGTTAATTTAATCGAACATATGAAATAAATTAATCATAGCAAGCCATAAAAATTGATATTAATCAAATAAGTAAACATTAATCAGAATAAAAGAGACTCAAATAATGTACCAAAAAACCATAATTCCAATTAGACAATTAAACCACAACTAATCAATGTGACACAAAAGTGTGGTTAATGATGAGGCTATTTTTATAGAGAAAATGGAGAAATCGAGAGAGAATATTAAGAGATCTTCTGCGATGCTGGGAATGTTTATTTCCTCCCCTAGCCCTACCTCTCCACTGCCCTCAAACAGTTACATAATTTGCGGAAGTTCACTAAGCTGAATACAGCTTTTTCTCTTTCTTTGAGTGGTATTTCAATGGAAAAACTTCATCGAGCCATTGTTAGTTTGTTTGTTCTTGTTTTTTGTACTCGGATCAAACTTGCAACCTCACACTTGCCAGTTTATGCCGCTGAACTAACTCCCGGGCCCAGTGGAAAAATTTCAGAACTCATAGATTTGTTTTCAGGAGTTAACTTTTCTGGATTTAATAGATGAACTGAAATGTTAAGCAAATGTTTTTGAAACACTTCTAGTAGATCATTTTCAGTAGACAAAATGAAATATAGCAGGACAATATGTGCTGTAGAGACAGAGATGAAAGAGGTATCGTTCCAAGAGAAGACATAGTGACAGATTCTGTATCAAATCACAGTGTTATATAAATAGACTTTTTCAGCCTATCTCGAAGAAAAATGTGTTTTAGTACATTTTTTTGCTCACACACAGACGTTCACTGATGAGGCCACGTACCTTGCCCTAATGTTTTATGTCGCACACTTATGCTTACTTTTCTTCCATGATTGGGTTTGCTGAAGATGGCATACAGAAGCTGTATTAGCAGGAAGTGGTGAGGTAGATGGGGCTTATCGATCACAGAACAGGCTCCTCTAGGTGAATAGAAAGCACCGTCAAGCCCTTTGAGTTTGAAGCTGTTGCTAGTAGTTCTCGGGCAAAAATTCTTACTAGTGAATTTTTATGCTTATGGCTAAGCATAGTGAGTTATCTAATCTCAGTTTGGGACTTAGCTTTTGTGTGTTCAGATATATTAAGATTACTTTCTTTTCTGGTTTACGTTTTATCTGGAGTTTTTCACAACTTAGATAAATTTTAATCTTATTTTTTTACATTTTTCTAAAATACTTCTTACGTCGGGAATTTATTAATTTTGGTCAATCATATGACCGTGGTGGCTAGCACGAAATTTACCAACCCTTAGTAGTTGCATGAATTAGTCAAACTTTTGTTTATTGCCTAATTTTTATTACTCTGTCTCCCGTGGGGGTGTGGCAGAGCAAGGTGCTATGCGCTGCTTTGTAGTGTGCCTGATACCTGCTCCTTTTAACCCTTTTGGTGTGGAGGGCATTCTCACCCGTGTGACGACTCTTGCATATGTAATTCTGCAAACCACTAATAAAAAAGCCAGGACCAAACCTATTGTTTGTGGAGTTGTAAAAGTCATCTAGGCATTTTCAGTGCCTTTCTTGTTTAAAAGCTACATTAACTTCATAGGCACATACATTATAAAACTCATAGGATGGGCGGAGACGTGGGATAGAGGGGAAAGGGAGTGCACCCCATGAATGGGCTAAGTGCATTGTATCGATGTAACAAGTAGGGGAGGCCGTTGGGAAGCTATTTTGGGTGAAGACTAATTCTTGTTTTGGGGTTTGGCAGGAGTGAGTATACATTGTGTAGATGTGGCTGGCCTGTGTGGCAGATAGTATTTTAATGGGATGGTAAAGGGGGTTGTTAATAAGACACTTGCTGCTGAAAATCACGCGTAGGAGTGTACGCGCATGCGTGCTATGTATACGGTCGTGTGCGTAAGATGTGTGAAATTATGTCCTGCAACTGTTAGAAGAATTCCCACTCAAGTCTCTCTGCGTGGAGTAAGGACACTTCATTCATAAGTCCAGCTACAATTGAATTGACTGGAGCTGTGCCTTGGACGGCAAGGGTGAGACAGCATCCCTGAAAATAAAAAGACACCAAAGGCCTGAAATCGCAGTTAGCTTGGTCATGGGCTGATCAGAGACATTAGTCCATCGAGATGTCGCACTTACGGGGAATGAATGAGTGGGCTTAATGTGATGGCCCTGGACAAGGAACCAGATGTCTTTCGAAGATCATTGTTAGAAGCCCCCACATGTTATGGGCCTGGAGCGAGCAGAGGGATCCGTGTTAGCGGGTTGCTGGTTTCACGGAGGATGACAGATTAAGAGGTTAATCATGAGAAAGGGATAGTTATATTGAAGAGGACTTATTTGATTTGATGGAGTATGTCTAACGATGGAATGGTTGTATTATGTAAGATAGAATCGTGGTACTTTGGTAATGGAAAGGCATATTGTTGAAAGGTTAAAGTGAAGTAGAGAACTGTAATGGTTTATGCACGTTTATAGTCTATTGTGCTTGCTTGATATCTGTGGGGATACAGACTTAATGTTGATTAAACATATAATGGTTTATGTCTTATGTTACATATTATGTACTAGTACATTTACTTAATGGGGACATGCATTAATACACAGCGCACAAATAGGGTATATGAGAACACATATAAATGTATGATACATTGATGTATCAGTGTAACCACTGTTACACTGTATGAACACGTGTTTGCGGTGCCAAGGAATAGTTTAGTAAGAATTTCAGTTTTGGTGTGTCTTAGTTACTTTTTACTGATCGCTGAGACAAAACACCTGATGCCCAAAGCTGGGAAAGGAAAGGTTTATTTCTTACAGTTTTTGGAGGTTTCAATCCATACTCAGTTGGCTGCAAGGCAGGGTGGCATGGTGGAGCCGCAGTTTCTGGTGGCGGGAAACCGC